TGGCAGTTCTCCTGCCTCAGCCTCGCAAGTGCTAGGACTACAGTTTTATGCCACAATGCCTGGCCAACTTTCTTTGGGCTACTGTGTTCCCATTTCACATTGGTCTAAAACTTTAGCCTTCTTCTAGATCTAAAAAGTCTGAAAAGTCTAAGGCTTCCTGTGACTCTAAGACCTATATACAGCTCTAGAATTATGTTTCTGTGATTGATCTCTTTATCTCAACTATTTTCAAAAACTAATTGGGAAGTAGGAGATAGATCATCCACAAAATTACTCACCATTGTATATAGCTGGTTCACAGAAAACTGTACATAGGTGCTCCTGGTTTGGCAGCTGTTCTCTGAGTTGTGATGAGGGTTCCTCTATCCTTTGATTTCCCCTCAAAGACCAGGCTTATGATCTGGAAGAAGGAGCCACAGAGAGGGAGCAAATGAGCTGATGCCAGATGTGGTCTCAACCAAATTGCAAAGGATGCCGGGAATGCAATCTTTTTGTGTGGCTGGGAAGAGGGAACAGTGATGATGGATGCATAATATTATTTCTGCTATGGTTTCTCTGCCTTTTTCTGCTTTGGAGGAATAAAGAGATAGAAACCAAATTACCCCTAGCCCTTATGGTATAACTAGGAGATTTCATAATAAAATTAGTAACTTTATTGCACTCCTGAAGACATTGATTCAAGCTTGCCTTGTCACCATTCCATGCCACAGTAGCATTATTTAACCCAAGACTGTGGTTTTATTCCTTAATTTACATCATGTGGCCCCAGTGTTTCATGGGAATAAGATGGGAAATAATTTGGGTGACTGACAGCCCCTACTACTGAGGTTTATACTTTCTTGCAAATGGGCATCCAACCACATCTTAAGTGGTGGGAACAGTAATAATTGTAATAAAAAATTAGCATCTATGAAGTACTTACTGCATTCTTAACACCATGATAGGTGTGCTTTAGATGGACTTTGTTTATTCTTTTGATTTAGGTAAAGATTTCCTTTTATTAAGTGAATCTGAAGGGTAGATCACTAAGTGATTCTAAACAAAAGAACAATCGCATTACCTTTTAAGGTGATCTTTTTGAGAACAGTCATCATTTGGATGGATAAATTCTGATAGGTCTGTGAAAACATCAGTCACAAGACCATGAAGTCCCATCTCAAGTGACTTGGTGGAGGCCCAGGGCTGGCTTGTCATCACTTCTATTAGCAGACTGGTGTGCCCATCTGCTTTTCATTTTCCTTGTTGCCAGCTCAGCTGGCAAGCTTGCAGGCAGAACCCTGGAACACCTCCCTGCTCACCTAAGTGGACAGAATTATCTGTCAAAAATGGAGGATCTCAGTGTTCTCTTGAGGTCTTGTATTTTGGAGGAACTCTGCCTTGGGAACACTGATTGAAGCAAGATCACACTGGTTGGGAAAGGTAATGTTAATGGGTCCAGGCATTTTCATAATTGAAATTAGCATCTTTAAATATCCTTCCTTCTCCCAAAGCTAGTGGCTGGCTCTTTTTTCTCCAGCAAAAACTTTGGCTCATTACTCATTTTATTAAGATTTATTCTACATGGAGGCATGTGGTTGGGGCAGGGGAAGATTTCTAAATTATTCTTTCTCCCCTTCACAGATGGCCCTAAAGATAAGTTTCTCAAGGACTTTTGGAGGATAAGTGGGTTGGAGTTGGTCGATCCTCAAGCTGTTAGGGTGGAAAACTTGTCTTTGGGTGCTGGTCACCTTTAGCAGAGAGGATGTCCTTATTTGGGACAGAGAGTAAAAAATAGATTAGGAGAGACATTTTCCCACACCTAAAGAGCCCTATGTAGCAATGCGAAGGCTTGTAGTATTTAAAGCTGCAGTCATTACAACTTCTGTTTCAGCATGTCAATAGGATTCAGACATACATGACCATTCTCTGTTATGAAATATAGATTTAAAATACCCAGATTCTATTCAGTTTTCCAAGGGGAGTGGAGAAAAGCAAGGTAGTGAATGTTTTGAGACCTGAAGCAGTTTATTTTGTTATTATATGTATAGTTTAATATGGTATCCTTATATAATGTTATATTTTGTTTGCTAAACTCCCTCCCCCCTGCCAGTACTGAGAATTGGAACACAGCACCTTCCCACTGAGCTACATTCCCAGCCCTCTATTTTGTTAATATATTGAAAAACCCAAGGGTGAATAACTTTATGAAGAAAAGAGGTTTATTCAGCTTATACTTCTGTAGGTTTAAAGGCATGAGTACCAGTCTCAGCATGTCAGTAGTGGATGGTATCACAGAGTACATGAGAGAGCACATGGCTAGATAGCAAGCCAAAAAAGGGGAAGCCAGGCTTGTCTTAAGAGCACTACTCAATGTTCCACAAGAACTGCCTTAATGCCTTCCAAGGGCACTCCCCTAAAGATCTACGTCCCTCTCTCTAGGCTCCGTCTCTTTAAAAGTTCCGCCACCTCTTGAGATCACCTCACTGGGGATCGAGATCACAACACATGCATCCGTGGGGGACAAAACACATCCAAACCGCAGCAAAGCCCTTTTAGACCAGATTTAAGCTGACACACTTAAATACATGTACTTGCTTCTCTCCCAGTGCCTCTTAGCTCTATGAATTACATGAAGTTGTCTTCATGGTACACCCTGAGAAATGGAGTTGCCAAAAGACATGACTTCCATGTTCTATTGGTTCACCTATCACTGAGTTGCTGGGCTGGATGTTGTGAATAACCAGTTGATACCCTACAACACAAGATTAAGAAAACACCAGAGCAATTGACATTCAGTCGTAAGAGAATTGGTGGGTGAATGCTACTTTTAGGACAGAAACTGAGAGTGATATCAGCCAACCTATATTTTCTGCTCAATTCCAAAGATTGTCTTTAGTCTTAGCTACACATTCTTCTGCTCTTACACCATCAGGGTCAGCTTTTCTAGCCACAATATATATTCTGGACCTAGTATTTATAAGACAATCAGGAACACCACTAAAGAACAATAAAGTATATCAGTAAGGTTGTTTGATTTGAAAGTCTTTTGCTAAATATCCATAATAGTCATAAACTGCTGGAGACAGGCTAATGATGATCATAAAATTTATTACTTAAATGATCCTTTATCTTGCTAAGAGATTCCCCCTCTTAATCATGGTCAGGCTGATTGCATTTCCATGGTTAAAATTTTATTATGACCTGTGTTTTGCTCAGGGTTCCATAACTCACCCAGAGCTGAAGATTGTCAGCTGGGAACTCCTGTTGGGAATTTGGTTTTATTAATACTTTAAGGTTAGTGGACTTTAATTAATATTAAATAAAAATGGGATTCTAAACATGGTACAGAAGACTTTTCACTTGGGTATCAAAGTAATTTACCATGATTAATAAGCTTTGAATCACCATCAAAAGAGAAAGTTTCAATTTCATTTTGATCATAGGCATTGACTGGACTATATTTATAATTTTAAAAATATGTGGCCCTGAGAGGAATTTCTATCGTGTCTTACCTATACAAAATGTAACACTTTTCTAAACAGCTGGTATGCCCCAAATTTGCAGATTCTGTGAGGAGTAGCTTGTAACAACTAGAAAGTATTGTGTTGGTGGTCTACTTGTGTCATTATGGATGTCTGACTACTTGGCTTTATTTATCCAGCTTTATTCATCCCTCTTCCTTCCATTCTCTCTCCCCTCCCACCTCTCTCTCCTGTTATGGGAAAAGGTGGAGTATAAATAAATAAATAAAAGCTGACATTTACAGAGAGCTTGTCATGTGTTGGACGGTGCACTGTAGGCATTGTACTAATTCTCACAATAGCTTCACAAGGAAGGTCTTATCATTCTTCCTGTTTTGTACATGAGGAAACTGAGGCATAGACTGATGCTAGTTCTCAGTTAGTAATACCAGAGCAGAATTGAAACAGTGGTTTGTCAGAATCCAGAAAGTATATTATGTCATATTTCATGGATACGCTGACACATTTTCAAACCATGCTCTCCTGCCCACAAGGGTCACAGTGGACTGGAATTTAAGGCAGGTCCTGCATGAGGTGGAGAGATTAGGGCAGATGTGCCATGAGACATATTAGGGAAGCTTGATGGAGGGAGAGTCTCCTTCACGGTGGCTACCAGGACACCCAAGGCTGATGGTCGCCCCTCCTGCCCTAGTGCTCATGGGCTAGCAGGCTTGGGGGTGATGCTATCTTTTGGCAGTGAACTTTGTTCAGAAGACATGGCAGACTTTATTCCAGTCCATTTCACAAATATTATTCAACACATATAGTGTAAATTCTTTTTTTCATATTCCATATAGTGTGGTCAGATGGGTCTGAAGCATAAGATGGGAGAGGAGATTGCAGGCAGCTCTGGCGTATGCTACCCTGGATCACACAGCGATCAATTTCAGCCTGGCCTGTTTGGCTCCTGTCCCTGTATCCTCCCCTTAGGGTGTTTTGTCTTCACCAACCTTTGGTGCAAGTTCTGTTCTCTCCAAGGATATAAACCTCTTTGCTGGAGACCTGGAGCCAAGCATAGCCCAGACACTAAACAGAAAGAAAATTACACCAACCACTTTTATTAGGCAGCTTCTAGGTGCCAGGTACCGTGCAGGCATTGCATAGCCATTATCTTATTTATTTCTCTCAGGAACCTGTTTCTTTATATTTGTTTTTTCCACTAAAGGTATGCAAAGATGTCTACACACACACACACACACACACACACACACACACATTCACACACACGCAGGAGGGTTTCCACCAGTTTTTAGATTGTCTGAATCTCCTTTCTCTTGGATCCCAGGTACCATGTGCTAGATGGTAGTGTCAGATGTCTCTAGGTTCCTGTGGAAGTCAGTGTATAATAGACTGATAGACTCGTCCTGTCCACCCTGCCTGCTCACCAGCTTCCTACCATTGTGTGAGAGAGGATAGTGAGGGAGTTAGGCTCCTGCCTTAGTTGTCCATTTACATCCCTTGTGTGATCATTGGTTTAATGCCTGTTTCTCTCTCCACTGCAGGATCCGGGCCCCCTGGCTTCTGAGGTGTCCCCAGGGTCCTGAGTGTCTCTGGCTCCTGGATGGGCCTTGGGAATGGTTTGCTGAGTGGCTGATTCAACAGGCCGTGGGTAAGCTCTCCTGGAGTGCTTGCTGAGTCCCTCTGGGAACCTTAGGGGCTCGGGTCAGCTGATAGCATCTTTATCTCATACCTTTTTAAAGAAGCAAATAATGCTATCTGCAGAGAGTAATCCAAAGAGATTATGTTCTTTCTGTTGCCGCACATGACCACCACTTGCACCCACATCCTATCTGCTAGGACCCAGGGGCTGCTCCACAGCATAATGGAGAAAAGTAAACATCTCCATAGAAACTGGTGTCTTAATTGGTTGGACTTTATAATGGCCCCTCCTGGAGTGGCCTTGTTATTAGAAACTGCTTTCTTTCAAGTCACCTTCCCCGTGACACTCCTGTGGGCCCTGTGTACAGCACATACCTCCCTTTGCCTGTGCGTGTGTGTATATCAATGTGCGCGTGTGTGTATATCAATATGCACATGTGTGCACCTATGTCTGTGAGTGTCTCTGTGTGCGTGTGCATGGCTATGGGTCTGCGTGTGGTTGAATGTGAACGTGGGCCTGTATGAGTGTGACTGTGTGTTTTGGAATGTGTGCATCAGCACAGGTATGGGTTAGCCCTTACACGTGAGTGTGTGTATATGTGTGTTGAATGTGAATATACGTGTCTGGGTATGTCTCCATGTACACGGATGACTATGTTTTTGTGTAAAAGTCAGTGCATGTGCACACGCCTGCATTTATGGAGTATATGACTAGGATGTGGACGTGTGTGTTTTTATGTGTCTGTGTGTGTGCTTATTGAGCTTGTTTGTGAATGTTGGAATGTCAGTGTGTGCGTGTATGTCTGTATGCACATATATGACGATGCCTGTGGGAGTGTGTCACTGTGTACATGTGTGTCTGTGTATGGATATCTGCGTATGGAAGGTGTGTGTCTGTGTGCGACTCCATGTATTATGTTCCTGAGTGGGTGCATTCATGCGTAACTGTCTGTTTCAGGAAGCGTGTGCCCATGTAAGTAAGCATGTGCCTCTCTGTGTGCGCGTATGCCCGTGTACACCTGAGTGACTCCCCATCCTGAAGACCACCTCCAGCTTCTGCCCACCTGGGACTGGGAGGCAGTGGCGGTGGTGTGCCCCACCTCTCCACATGTTGATATTAGCACTTTGGCTTCCCAAGTCTGGTGGGAGACGCAGAATTAAACACAGACGTTCTGGTGCCAAAACAAAATCATGAAAAGATTTGAAGTCCCTGTTCCCTAAACTTGCAGCATATCAAGCTGAGAACAAGCCTGGCTTTGTTTTATTTCTTGCATCAAACAGGGGCAGAACAGTCTGGAGCCACATTGGTTCTGATAGAAGAGCTGACTCGAAGCCAGGGAATTTGAAATTGCTGAAACCTAAAGCAGAATGGAGACAGCAAGATGTGATGGGAAGGGGAAAAATGCATCCAAGAGGAAGAAAAGATGTTCTTACCTCGAGTTAGGTATGGGGAGAAGGTGGCAGCCCAATTTTTGATAAATGGAGAAGCTTGAAGAGGGAACAAGGTGATTCTGCCAGGCAGAGACAGCCCTTCTGTGACTGTGCTTCGCTTGGTTCTGGGACAGTTCATGGGTTGGGGTTGGTAGCCACAAAGGATGGGGCAGAGGAATGAGTTCTCATGTCCAAGTTTTAATCTCATAGTGGAGGAAACAAGGAACTAGCCAGGGCTGAGGGCCCAGCTGTCAGCCTTGGTCTCTGACTCCCTGTCCAGTGCTCCTGCACATGGAGACATGGAAGCACTAATAAGAGAAAAGAGGTGCCTTTTCCTGAGATTTCTCCCTGTGTGATCAGCCTCATTGCCTTGTTATTTCACTTTCTGAAAACAAGTTTTTCTTTAATTTGGAGGCTCTGATCTTCTATTGTCCTTGCCTGAGTTTTCTGGTTTTATTTTAATAAGCAGTAGTGATTTTAATAAGCTTTTAATAAGCATCAGTGCTTGGCGCAGTGATATAAAGAAGATTATGGTTTTACTGATTTTGACCTAAGGTACCCTTTACCTCCCCACGTATCTTTTCCCACCCTCCACTACACCTCCTTTCATCCCAAGGCAGTTGATGGCAATCCCTAGGTTATTGGCCTCCAGGTCATTTGTGACTCTGAAGTAGAAGGGCTTTAGGAGGGAGGGTCATGCATGGCCATACGAGAAAGAACTGGGGATGAAGGACTGACAGGGAGACTCAGTCCACCCCGCCATGGGTGGGCAACCTCTCACACTGTGCCTTGGAGTCTGGTACAACTTGAGAAGTTCATTGCGATCTCCATGGAGTGTCTATGTTGACACCTGCTACAGTGTCCCTGAGACCACATGGGACCCAGAGTCTGGTTTCTGCTCTTGGGGTGGACCAATCTCATCCAGGATCAGAAAGGGCCTCTTGCTTCTGCTCCATCTAATCCTCAGGTGTCAGTGACTTCTGTATTAGCCACATGTGTTCACCAGGGACACACAGACTCCTGCTTTTCTGGAGAGTGGTGGGCTGTGCATTTTCCTGCTAGTGACTCTTGAGCCACTGAGTTTGCCACAGTAGACTAGGCCATAACCACTAAAGCCCAAGTTCTAAACTTCTCAGGTTCAAAAATAAGTTATTTCTGTTACCTTTTATCAAGGAAACTTTGGACTGTGAATCTCCTTTATGGGGGCTTGTAAAGCCAGAGTGTAGTCATATAGGTGAGAACTCCAGCCACTAAAAAGAATGAAGCAAATCTGTATGAAGATACTCATGATATCATTGTTTAACCATTTATTTTGTTAAGAAAAAAAGTTAGCTGTGCCAGGGTATGGATTATTTCATTTCTTTTTTATTGAATAATGAATATATTCCCTGGACAGCTATATCACAAGTTGTTCACATTAGCTATCTTTGGGGAACGTGGGAACCTATACTTTTATTTTATGTATTTCCTTTCTCACTTGTCAACATGAGCAATTTTTTAAATTTAAAAAAATCTATTAATACAGAAATGAACCTTGGGTCAGTAAAAGATGTCAGAGGTCTAATGAGGCCCTTTTTCATGTGTGAATACATGAGGGGAAGAGTTTAGGAGACTTGGTTTTTCTCTTAGTCTGAGCTTTTAGTTTTTTTAGTGTCATGAACCCTACTGACAGTCTGAAGTTTTGGATCCCTTCATAGAACAATGCCTTAAATACATAAAATAAAATACATAGGATTATAAAGAAAGCCAAATGTGTTGAAATATAATTATCAAAGTATTTTTAGAATTGTGATATATTAACATACGTGCTTTTAGTGCATTAAAAGACAAGATTCAGTTGTTTTTGTTTTTTTTTTTGTACTGGGGATCAAACTTGGGTCCTTGCGCTTGCGCAGCAGGCGGCGAAACCACTGAGCTAAATCCCCGGCTGAAAAGGGGCAAAGGGGAAGGAAGTGGGAGGGCTAGGGGAAAGGATAGAAGGGAGTGGGATTAATATGAGAAAATGGAAAAATAGGAACAAAATCTTTGTAAATAGGAATGGAGGGGTTGAAGGGAGGGCTGGGCAAGGGTGACAAATAAGAACCAAGAGAGACTATGTAAAGTTGCAAATTTCCAATGATGAATGTCATTATATTGTATACCTAAAATGTACCAAGGTTTAGAATGAATAATCGGTAACGCAAAATAGGAAGAAAAGGTCCAAAGGGGTAGGGGTAGTGGGAGGGGCAGGGGAAAGGAAAGAAGGGAAAGGAAAAATGCTGAGCAATGGGAAAAATGGAAATAAAGTCTTTGTAAATAGGGAAGGGTGGAGGGGGTGAAGGGAGGGCTAGGAATGGGGAAAAAATAAGAACCAAGATGCATTATGTAAAGGTACAATTCCCAATGAGAAATGTAATTGTGTTGTATACCTACAATGTACCAATAAAAGAATTTAATTAAAAAAAAAAAGACAAAATTCAATTGTGGATTTACTAACTACCATAGTCTGGAATTAGCAATGAGCAAAAGAACATTTTGAGAAATTTGCAACAACTGGATGTTATGTGAAAATAAATACCTGTGACTTCTGTTGCTGGCAAAGCCACATGTACTTGTTTTTTTTTTGGTACAGAGATCAAACTCGGGACCTTTCACATGCAAGGCAGGCAGAGGAACCACTGAGCTAAATCCCTGGCTGCCACATCTGCTTGTACTCTGAGGTATGTCACAGCCCTTCATAAATGACGAAAATGCTAAATTAGTTAGAGGTAGTGAAAATAAAGACATAATTTCTCATCCAATATCATAGACCCCTGTTTGGATTTCCCAGCCTAAGAATTAATGCTTCTACCTAGCTGAGAGGAATTGGGTAGTATTGCTCCCACTGTCACATCACAATTACCCCATCAATAAAATGAGAGGCTCAATGATGGCAGATGTATATCTCTTGTGACTCTAAACATACTTCTGGTTGAACAATTATAAAGGTACAAAAATTATTAACCTTTCACAAGGTGAGTGTGTGTGTGTGGGGGTGTGTGATTGGCACCACTGACACACGAGCCCAGGCGGACCAAATTTTCGCATGCACTTTTCACTAAATGAAATTGTAAGCATTCCCTTAAGTTTCCATGATAGAGTGGTTACTGGGAACAGACTGTCTAGAAAGAAAACAAGAATTAGTAAACACAGTTGTACAAATGAGCCATCTGGAGATTTATTTACATAAGAAAAGAGAAAAGTCTTGGTATTTTCATGCTGGGATTTGTTTCTTTTGCAAGTAGCCACAGGGGTGTATTTGTCAGAAGCACACATTGAGCTTTTTAGTGGAGATCTCTGAAAGCATGAAAAAAATAACAATGCTCATTTGGTTGGGTGTTTTGGGGGAATGGGAAGGAGAAGAGAGAGAGACAGTTACACATGTTTTTGAATGGTTTTAGCGTATTTTAACTATTTTGAGGTAGTTACAATGCTCTCACACCTTGACTTTGAAATTATTTATTGACTCTAAAGTACTAATGAGAACAATTTTCTTTTAACAAGGGCAAATATGGAGGCATTAAGCCATCATGCAGGTACAGAAGGGCTGCAGAATAATGCTGAAGGACCCAAGCCTTGACACATTTTGACAAGCAGTGGGTACAATGACCCATTGGCCCTAGAGAGCCCCAGGTGTCAGCAAGTCTGCAGAACCACTTAGGCCCCCCAGCTTGTCTTTGTTTTTACCATTCTCTCCTGAGGTGCACAATGAAGTAGTCCTTTCCTTGGAGGGAGCCTGGCCTGGCCCTGTGACCCCTCCTGCTTTGCTCTATTACCAGGCCACCATGAATGTTTACTCGTGTTGCGCTCGGATGAAAGCTCAGGGTAGAGAACAGAGGGACTGGGACGATCCCATAGTGGTCTGAACACACGTGGCTCACACTTGTGTTTTCCCTCCATCCCCATGTTGGATGACACTACACAGCTCCAGGCTCCATTGCCAGTCACACCCGCACGGTGACAACCTGCATAAAAATAGCCCCAGTATGTCTAGGCAAGCACTGTTTGGCTAGTAAAACACTAATTAGCAAGACAGCAGTTGGAATGACTTTACAGAAAGATAGCTTTCTGCTCCTGGTCTGGGCTGGGCTGTAAAATATCTTACATGTTTGTTCTGGAAACTGTATAGCTCAGGGCAGCACATCTTTATAGGGACAAGAAGAGGCAGGACTGAAAGACTGAGTTGGTCTCTGCCCTGGGGCTGCCGGAGTCAGGAACAGCTGCTGGCAAGTCAGGAAGGGAAGTTTGAAGAGGGAAGGTAACTGGAAGGTACCCAGCAATTCAGAGCCATCAGCATGCAGTGTAATTATCTACTGACAGGTCTCTGATGTACACCTGTATCTGTGTGTGTGTGTGTGTATACACATGCAGTCTTCAGTTAACTGTGTCTTTGCAGGCAATTTAAGAACATATTCTACATTCTACACCTAGGCAAGAGGGGGTCAGACTTATAAGTAAAGATCTGCAACCCTAAAGCATTATATTTTAAACAGTTCTGCAACTAAGCTTGATAATGTAGAATATACAAAGAAAACAAAAAGTTTTGGAAAGTTTCTGGAAGAGGAAGAGCCAGAACTGTGCTCTGGGTCAGCGCCTGGCTTGAAGAAGATGTTCTCAAAATGAACTGTTAAGAACTGCTTGATGAACTGGCGAGCAGAGAGAGGAAATTATAAGAAGTAAAACAGATATTATGGATGGCAAACACTTGCTGGATTCTAGGGCTATAGTCCTGCATGGGACCTCCCATCTCACTGCAGCAATTTACTGGGGACCCACTTTGCACCTGAGCATCCTGAGGCTGAGAGGCACTGAGTTGACTAAGTCCATGCAAAGACAGACAGACAGAGAGAGAGAGAGAGAGAGAGAGAGAATTTAAAGTGACATAGCCTGAGTCAAAGCCAGCTATCTTAACTGTTACTCAAGCACAAGTAAGTTTGATCCAAGGGAAATAACAAACAAGAGGCCATGTGTAGAAATGAAAGGAGTGCTAGAGGAGGAGAAGACCTCTGCCCATGACCTTGAGGACCTCCACAGTGCTGGGCAAGTTGCCCCAATTTCTGTATGTTGCTCCTGATGCTGTCATCATCACTACCATTATTGGACATCACTCCAAATGGGAATAAAAAAAGCTATAGTATCTTGACTTTTGTTTCTCAGACTTTCAAAAGGGTATATATGAGAGTGACTTCAGATGACAATGATATTTGATGGACTCTTAGCTCTGATTCCAGACTTTAAAGATCTACTCATAATGTAAAAAAGTTCTTCAGATGCTCACAGGTTGCAGTGCTATATCAGTATAAAATGTTGATGAAGTGTACAATGTCAAAAAGCTATTTTAAATTAAGAAAAGCCTTTAAATGAGTGTGTTTGAAATTGTTGAGATATCATCCATGCATATCTGAAAACAATCATACAGATGGAGACAATGTACTTACATAGAACATAGGCCATGCTTCCTGAGAAAGTGGACCCATAGAGCCCCAGAGACTGGGAGTCGCCATTTCAATGCTAAAAGGAGATGGACATTTTTCAAGCAGTATAACAATGCTCATGTTACCATCAAATGGACCTCTTGGCTTTCTGTATAACTCAACATTTGACCATGCATCCACTATGAATGGCTCAAGGACAAAGTTCAGCCCCAGAAAATGGCAGTCTATCTTGAGTATTAAGGCTGTTAGGCCAAGAATGTGACTATCAGGGGAAGTAACACATGCAGCTTGTTCCATGAAAGCCATTGCAGATGACAATGGAATCAGGTGAATGAAGATGGAATTTTAGAGTCCTATTTCCCACTTCTTATTCTCCTGATTGAGTGTGTCCACTGGTTTTCACAACAGTGGTCGAGAGTGTGTTCTCTGGTGACACGAAGCCTGCAACTCTACTGAAGAGTCACATAGATGGATTCCCCCTACCCTCATCTCCCAAAGCAGAACTGACTTTGCTTAATTCCCTCTTGCTCTTTTGGTCCTGATGCCAGGAGCAGCAAATTCCACAGGCACTTGGTAGAGTTTTATCTGATTGTCCCTTGCAGGGACTGACGGAGTGTAACTCATTGGTGATGGAAATGAAAAGTAATGTAAAACGGATATTATGCTACTTTTCCATGAAGTTCCATAGCAAGAATCGTGCTCGTTATCCATTCATCTTTTTCTCCTTCTGAAGTTTTGCAAAATTTAACCAGCCAGAACAAATTTGTGTACCCTGTCATCATTTGAAAACTGGGGCTGAAATTTCTTAATGTTCCTGGTATTTGCAACGTGAGTGCCAAAGAGATTTCTTTTTTCTGAAAATGATTTAGCTTTTCAATGTGCAGACACAAACAGGCAATATGACACCTTCCTAGGTCCTGACACATGGGACCGACCCATGGAAGGCAGGGGTGTTGGTGGTTTCCTCTCACTTTTGCTATTACATGACCTTAAATAAGATTACATTAAGAGTAGCAATTCTGTCTTCGGTTGTAAGGACAAAATTGTGTATTTTGATAAGTTTTCAGACAAAGCGCAAGAGGCAAAGACTCAATAATAATTGTGAGTAGAATCTAGTAAGTTTACAGTTCCAACTTGTTTTGGGGCTCAACTTCTGGAAGATAGCCTATAAAAATAGCAATTTACAGGGAAAAAAAAGAGCGGGTCCTGAGGCATTTGGTCCGGGCAGACATTAGTTCCATTTAGGGCTTAAGCCAGCCCACAGGTAATTATAGGTCTCTTGCATTAGCTTGTGGGAGCAGTGAAAGCATGTAATTCGAGCTAATCTGATGGGCACATGAAATAGGTACTTGGTGCCAAGGGAGACTGTGAAACAAAAGGACACATGTGTTTTTTGGGGGGGCACAACGAAACATAGATTCAACTGTTGCACACATGAATCTCTGGGGAAGTTTTGGAAAGCTTGTCATTTTAGAAAAGCACTTCAAAGGTACAGTGGATGAAACTGTGGAGCTCAGTGTCTTTCCAAGACCTGATCAGTGATGTTATGTGGCCTGGCATGATTTGAGGGGCAGCTTTCAGGCCAGGTTTATTTGAACTGACTCGCAAGGCTTTCTTTTGAAGCCCTGTCATACTGTGGGTCTTAGCATTCATTCTACCTAATGCCTTAGAATCAGCCCAGGTTTCATCCTGTAAATTTGGATTTAACTTGTCTCGGATGGGGTTCAGCAACACTGCTTTGTGAAAGTCCCCCCAGACAACTGCAATTTGATAACTGTAGTTAGGATTAAGAACCCAGATCTAGTAGCAGATAAGGATTAAGGAAGGTGAGCTGGTGGTTGATGCCCATTAGTTTAAGCTACCTGAGAGGCAAGTGATCCAAGCCCAACTGTGAGGATGGAAGTGGATATTGGTAATTTGCAATGATGCCATCTTTGTGGTCCCCATTGTTAGACTTGTGGTCCTGGGAAGTTAATATGATGGTAGTTTTTCCTTTGTTATTCATTCACAACCCAACTTCCTCAAAGCAGGTATGTAGCATGACCTTAAATAAGACTGGCTCTCATTAGCACCATAATTAGACTAAGTTCCCTGAGGGAGACTGATTTTGGACTCTTTCTCTTAAGGGTGAACCTCAGAATAGTTTTGCTGAAAGGAAAATAAAGAGAATAAAAAATGCAAAGATTTGTATTATTTTCTGCCTATGAAGGCACTCACATC